ATAGAACCCAGCCTGTCATGCTATTTATTCATAGCTGGAGGGAGAAGAAGAGGATTCATACCTTTCCCAAGGGTATTAGCATGTAAGTGAATGTAATGGATTTGACAGGAATTCGAACTCAGCTCTCCTCCGATTCCTCAATCCAAGCCACAATCCATAAGTGGTAAAGATAATCCAAGTAGGTCTTTTTAATATAAATTAATAAAAAGATAATTCAATGAAGAGATCTCAATGTATGTATATACAGAGCAATATTTCGTAAAATACATCTACTGGATGCTTTGGTACACAACATCAGTGATGTTTCTAGCAGAGGTTCATTAGGGGTTTTGGGTCTTTCAACATTATACCCCCTCTCCACGGTGACCCAGCCGATACTGATCGGGTATCGACTTGTGTACCTTCCGTTAGCTACAGTTTTTTCCATCTTTATAACTGCACACAATGACTCCCCTTAGCAATTTATAGCCCACTCCCAGCATGAAGGAAAAAAGCTTAACACATCATCAAAGAATTCAGTAATAAATTTATTTCGATAGATAAAATTTTTAATATCTGCCTCATCAGACTGAAATTACAAAATGGTTTATATTTATCCAGACAATTGATTAAAAAAAATTTTTAAAATTAAATCATATATATATATATATATATATATATATATATATATATATTTATATATATATAAAGACATTTTATGTTTTTATAGATACAAGTATTTAATAATGTGGGTTTATAATAAACAGTATTAAATAACATTTACTGGCCTGAATGTCCGAGAAATTTTCATAGAAAATATTCGTCCTTTCTATGAAAATTTCTCGGACATTCAAGCCGGTAAATGTTATTTAATACTGTTTATTATAAACAGAGCATAAATTACTTAAATACTTGTATCTATAAAAAATGTTTTTAATAAATTGTCGGACTTTGTCCATTTCTTAATGTGTGTGTGTATATATATATATATATATATATATATATATATATATAATACACCCTGAAGTTGTCCAAATACAAGGGAAACTGTATGAAAATGACCAGATATTCTTTTGTGTCTAATGGCTCTTATACTGGAAATATTGGTCATATAATTATTTAAATAGCAAACTCTTGGGGATTTATTGTTGAAATAGCCCAATTTAAAAATTTTTTTTTTTTTTTAGATGGTGATATTTTGATTACATTTTCTCAAATAGGAGTGACTGCTAAGAAACTAAGATTTGTTGTCAGTTGTTTTAAACCATAAAAATCTTGCCTTGTTCAAAACTGATTTGTGAAAAATGGATAAAATCAACCTATGCTGATATATATATTATGTCTGGAGCCTCAAATAGTTGCACTGAGTAGGGTGATTGGCCCTATTCTCAGCCTTTGTACCCTGAGGAAGGTTTGGTTTTCTGACAGGATTTTCCTTCCCTTAGACTACCATATGTCACCATGATTGTGTGTTTTAACTACCTGGGTTTGGAATTTAAAATTGTCCTTCTCTTAGACTGGTTGCCACCAAGGCTGAAGATGAAAAGCCCAGTCTGTCATATAGTTGGTGGGGGAAGACATGGATTCATACCTTTCCAAAGAGCATTTGCATGAAAGTGAAAGAAAAAATGTGACTGGAATTACCAATTTCTTGTTCTGAGATACTAATCAGTACACTGCCTGCAAATCCCCCACCCTCTCTCTCTCAGTATATTTTCTAAAAAAGGTAACGGATTTTTATTTATCAATCCAATAGGTTTTTATCAATTTAAACGTTATTTTTACAGGGCTGAAGCAGCCTGAGGGGGTTGTTGGTGGCGGCCTTGGCTCCCCCAAAAGTTTTACCAAAATACAATAAAGAAAGAAAAAACTATCAAAGCCCGTACTGGGAAATTTAAATGTTCTGGTTGCTAATCATGAAAATTTAAATGTTCTGGTTGCTAATCATGTTGGTGGCCTTTGATAACTTACGGCTAAATTTTTAATTTCTCCCACCAAAAAAAGTGACACTACGAGAACGAGAACTACAATCTGAGATCAACAACGCCAATCTACCAGATCAACAATCTCGACATACGCGACTCTACCAGATCAACAACAATACACGACTCTACCAGATCAACAATCTCGACATACGCGACTCTACCAGATCAACAATACGACTCTACCAGATCAACAACGACACGCTGACTCTACCAGATCAACAATCTCGACATACGCGACTCTACCAGATCAACAATCTCGACATACGCGACTCTACCAGATCAACAATCTCAACATACGCGACTCTACACATGTGCCGCTCCAAGATCAACAATTTAGACACACCACACCTTTGATCTACAATTTAAGCACATGCCAGATTGAGATGATTAATTTTAGAACTTTTAGGTCTGTTAGAACTATGACTTACCTGTTCTGACTACCACAGCCAACACTTTTGCCTGACCATAATACCTTGTCTGAACCACTTGTGTGCCAGCAAACAGAGTGTACTTTTTATGTAAAACAGGAGAATAAATTTCATCATCATGCCCACTTAACTGTGTCTTAGTCACTGGAACACTTTCACCTGGAGATAATGATAAAAAAAAGATAAATATCAGATAATTGATAAGATAAATTTGACAAAAATTAGATAAGATTTAAAGAATAAAAAAAAGATCAAAATATACGTTTTACAGATCAAAGTTTTGAAATCAATCTGAAAAGGTTAATTATAAAAATAAATATTTCAAAATAACTCAAAATAGTAAGAAATTTATATTATTCTGGATCAATCAAAGTGTTATTTTATATTTTATAGAAAAACAGAATGAAGAACCAATCTGTAAGATTAAAAGATTAGTACACTAATCATTATATTATATTTTCTTATTTTATTGTTAAGTAGGAAGGATAAAAGTTCTCACCTGTCAACATACTCTCATTAACAATACAAGTGCCAGCTATTAGGACAGCATCACATTGTAATATACAACCATTTGAAGGGATGATAATCACATCACCAGGAACTAACATCTCTGTGGAAACCTCTTCATACCCTGAAAATATGATTTAATAAATATCATTTGAAATAAAATAAAAAGAAATCAGTTCAGTTTAGAATGGCCTATGCCAAAAATTGTGGTAACAATGATAACAAAAGATTTGCAATTGTCTAAACAAAGTTAGGAAATCCTATTTATAATTTTACCAAATTTTATATAAAACTAATGATAATGTACTTATTTCTAAGTATATTTGCCTGCTTGAATGGTTAGCTAATCCCTGTTGCTGACACCTGCTCAAGCACATTTATGTTTCTTTAATACTCACTGAATCAACCTGTGATTAATACTGCAACTATACTTAGTTGAAGTTTCTGGGAAAGAGCATATAAACTGGCATGATCAATAGGTAAAAAAAAAAAAAAAAAAAAGAAGCCAGTACACTCAAACTCTCAGTCACAATGACTTGTGACTTCATGCTCACACAACCATCAATGGCTTCCAAAGAGTTCCATTTGCCCAATTTGACTCATAAAGCATGAGTTAACCAGTGGTATAGATATCAAGCATTCCCAATGGTCCTGCATACTAGGTTTGTTTCCCAGATCAATATTATCAAGATTACAAATGAATCAGTTAGTCTGTAGTTTGACAATTGATTTGATTGATTTGTTTTTAGGGTTTATCAACATTTTGCAGGTTAAAGCTATAGTTTAGTGACTCAAGTCTTACTAATTAACACATAGCTAGGGGTAGAAGAGGTGGATTCATACTTAATCAGAATTTGATAAACAATACATAATGTGGATACTAAGCGGGGATTTATATATATATATATATATATATATAAAAGAATTTCAATATTCTGATCTTATGTTTCAAGTGAACACTTAATACCATGCTTGCACACACAGTACATGGAGTCATAATAGCTGAGGATTTTCAAGAGTTTAACCTTCCAGGTAAGATGAGAATTAATACGGTACAATTCCAATGTTCGTAACATCTAATTTACTTTCTCTTTTTTCTTAATCATTTCATGCCAAGCAAGGAGATAAACCCACTAAGATGCAAGGAGTTAGTGAGAAGGAAAGGAACTGAGAAAATATTGTAAATGAAAATACAAATAAAGAGAGAGAGAAAGGAAAAAAGAAGAGAGAGAGAAAGGAAAAAAGAAGAGAGAGAGAAAGGAAAAAAGAAGAGAGAGAGAGAGAAAGGAAAAAAGAAGAGAGAGAGAGAGAAAGGAAAAAAGAAGAGAGAGAGAAAGGAAAAAAGAAGAGAGAGAGAAAGGAAAAAAGAAGAGAGAGAAAGGAAAAGAAGAGAGAGAGAGAGAAAGGAAAGAAAGAGAGAGAGAGAGAAAGAAAAAGAGAGAGAGAGAAAGGAAAAAAGAAGAGAGAGAGAGAGAAAGGAAAAAAGAAGAGAGAAGAGAGAAAGAGAGAAGAGAAAGGAAAGAAGAGAGAGAGAAGAAAGGAAAAAGAAGAGAGAGAGAGAAAGGAGAGAGAGAGAAAGGAAAAAGAAGAGAGAGAGAGAGAAAGGAAAGAAGAAGAGAGAGAGAGAAAGGAAAAAAAAGAGAGAGAGAGAGAAAGAAAAAAAAAAAGAGAGAGAAAGGAAAGAGAGAGAGAGAGAAAAAAAAAAAGAGAGAGAGAGAGGAAAGGAAAAAAGAGAGAGAGAGAGAAAGGAAAAAGAAGAGAGAGAGAGAAAGGAAAAAAGAAGAGAGAGAGAAAGGAAAAAAAGAGAGAGAGAGAGAGAAAGAAAAAAGAAAGAGAGAGAGAGAAAGAAAAAGAAGAGAAAGGAAAAAAGAAGAGAGAGAGAGAGAAAGGAAAAAAGAAGAGAGAGAGAGAGAAAGGAAAAAAGAAGAGAGAGAGAGAGAAAGGAAAAAAGAAGAGAGAGAGAGAGAAAGGAAAAAAGAAGAGAGAGAGAGAGAAAGGAAAAAGAGAGAGAGAGAGAGAAAGGAAAAAAGAAGAGAGAGAGAGAAAGGAAAAAAGAGAGAGAGAGAGAAAGGAAAAAAGAGAGAGAGAGAGAAAAAAGAAGAGAGAGAGAGAAAAAAAAGAAGAGAGAGAGAGAGAAAGGAAAAAGAAGAGAGAGAGAGAGAGAGAAAAAGAAAAGAGAGAGAGAAAGGAAAAAGAAGAGAGAGAGAGAGAGAAAGAAAAAAAGAAGAGAGAGAGAGAGAAAGGAAAAGAAGAGAGAGAGAGAGAAAGGAAAAAAGAGAGAGAGAGAAGAAAGGAAAAAAAAAGAGAGAAGAGAGAGAGAGAGAAAGGAAAAAGAAGAGAGAGAGAGAAAGGAAAAAAGAAGAGAGAGAGAGAAAAAAAAAGAAAAGAGAGAGAAAGGAAAAAAAAAGAGAGAGAGAGAGAGAAAGGAAAAAGAAAGAGAGAGAGAGAGAAAGGAAAAGAAGAGAGAGAGAGAGAGAAAGGAAAAAGAAAGAGAGAGAGAGAGAAAGGAAAAAGAAGAGAAGAGAGAGAAAAAAAGAGAGAGAGAGAGAAAGGAAAAAGAAGAGAGAGAAGGAAAAAAGAGAGAAAGAAAAAAAAGAGAGAGAGGAACAAAAAAAGAAGAGAGAGATGAAAAAAAGAAGAGAGAGAGAGAAAAGAAGAGAGAGAGAGAGAAAAAAGAAGAGAGAGAGAGAGAAAGGAAAAAAGAAGAGAGAGAGAGAGAAAGGAAAAAAAAGAGAGAGAGAGAGAGAGAAAGGAAAAGAAGAGAGAAAGGAGAAAAAAAAAGAAGAAAGAGAAAGAAAGAAAAAAAAAAAAGAAGAGAGAGAAAGAAAGGAAAAAAAAGAGAGAGAGAGAAAGGAAAAAAGAAGAGAGAGGAAAAAAAAAAAGAGAGAAAGGAAAAGAAAAAGAGAAAGGAAAAAAGAAGAAAAAAAAAAGAGAAAGAAAAAAAGAAAAAAGAAAAGAAAAAAGAAGAGATTTCAAAAAAAGAAAAAAAAAAAATAACCAAAAGCAACAAATAAGAAAACAAAGAGAGAAAGAGAAAACTAGTAGAGAGAAAAGAAAGAAAAATGCTGATAAGAAAAAAAGAAAATTTTAAAAAAAGGAAAAGAAAAGAAAAGGAAAAAAGAAAAAGTAAAAAAAATTAACAAAAACAAATTAGAGAAGAAATTTCCAAAACTAGTATATTGTAGACAATGCTGGATAATCTTTCTGTTTATTAAAAAAGGGAAAAGGTAAAAATTAAGCTTACTTTCTTCACTTCGCCTGACAGTAATCTTCTCATTTCCACTTGCAACCATATCATGTAATGTGACACTTTGCTGCAGAAATAAAATAATTTTAAGTCCAGAAAGAATTATTTAGAAGAGATCATCAAGCCATAGCAAAAAATATAATTTATGCATTTATGTTAAGAAAAAGAAAACTAAAAACAATTTGGAAGAGAATCCACTTTAATAGTTACAATTTGTTTATTATAGTCGCAAGTATAACCCCAGGAGTATTAAATTGTGATACAGACACCCAAAAAGATGCTTGTCCAATCACTACAATCTTAACCTCTTTATCTAGGATCAACTGTTATCTATCCTACATATCCTCATATGCCCCTCTTATTCCTTCCCTGTACACCCTAATAACAACCTCATTTAGTAACATTCTACCTTGACTAGTTATTAGGAGAACAGATCAATAATATTAGTGTGGTTGTTATGATTTTTGATTAACTGAAATTAGACTCCATTCCCCACCCCAAAATGGAACACATTCCTTTTTTTTGTTTAAATTTCTCTAGAAATTTTCATTATATACGTTATTTATATGCAGACTACTCTCCTCATCTTTGTTGTTGTTATCACAATGTTTCAGACATTGTGTCTTCTGGCATTCATCAGCTGTTAATATTGATCCAAATAAAGTCTTATGAATAATCAAGAGTGGTCTCCCTTTGTTTCATTACTCTCTTCTTTGAGAAAGCTATTTCTGTTTACTGGGACTATTAAAGGACATTATACGCGAACCTTGTATTTTCAGTTGAATAAAGCTTTCTTAAAGCCTACACCTGCGTACTCTTGTCATTACAACATCATTACCCGGATCAATGTACAAATGTTAACATTAGTGCTACAATAGATAGGGTGTTGTAGATAGCCATGCCCTAAAGAGACTCAGCACAAAAAAGAAATAAAAGTAGATAGAAATTTTTTTATTTATAAAGATCTTAAGTAATTTTCATCTAAACAGATATTTTAATATGATGTACCCAAGCATTAGAAAATAATGAAGAAGAATTTAATTGAAAAATACATACCTTGTGAGTTTCATACAAGGATATGGCTATTGAAATGCAGGAAATGACAAAGATGCAGCCAGCATAATAATAATATTCGTCACTCGCCCATAAAATAATACTAGCTATTTGGAAAATATAAAAGGGATTTAGCACCTGAAAAATAAATAGATAACTAAATAAGACACCATAGGTTGTCTGAATTACTATTAAAAAAATACTTAATTTCAAACTAAAGAACCGTCAATGCAAAGTAGGAAACAATTTAAAGGAATGAAAATTTAATCTTAGACTACAAGGTGCAAACAATGAATATAGCATGGAGAAAAAAAATAAGATAATGAAAAATGTAATTTGGATGAATTTTAATGATTACAGATTATTTGCTGTAGCCTAATTTGGTAAGATCATACTCTGGTCAGAAAACTGCAACTGGCTTTGAGATGTGAATTCAAATCTTGTTAGAGGCTATTTTATTGCCAATCCATGCTGATTATTTAATGAATTTAGAATGTAAAAAAAAAAAAAAATACACACACACATTTTAAGTTATATGATGAAAAGGAGACAAAAAGTAAATGGCCTGTGGGAGTAGATTAAATATCAAAAAAAGAGGAAACAAAAAATAGGAAATAAAAATTTGAAAAACAAAAAAGAAATAAAAAGAAATAGAGAAAATAAAAATAAAACAAAAAGAGAGAAGAGAATAAAGAAAAGAAAAAAGAGAAAAGAGAATAAAGAAAAGAAAAAAGAGAAAAGAGAATAAAGAAAAGAAAAAAGAGGGAAGAGAATAAAGAAAAGAAAAAGAGAGGAGAATAAAGAAAAGAAAAAAGAGGGAAGAGAATAAAGAAAAGAAAAAAGAGGGAAGAGAATAAAGAAAAGAAAAAAGAGGGAAGAGAATAAAGAAAAGAAAAAAGAGGGAAGAGAATAAAGAAAAGAAAGAAAAATGAGGAGAAATAAAAGTGAGAAAAAAGAAATAAAAAAAGAAAAACAGGAAATAAAACAAGGCGGATGTATTCCTAAAGTAAAATGAGAAATTATGCAAGTTATGACAATATACCAAAATCAGTTTGGTTATCAGAACGGAAAGCAGAATTGTGATAAAAAATGATTTCATTACTGACAATGGTATAATTGATAAGAAAATGTGCAAAATTATAAAGTATTTCTCTTCATGTATAAATTGTTGACCAAAGCACCAAATTTCATTATTTTTTGTGGTTGTGGGTGATGTAAATTTGTTGATAAGAATGAAAACATTATTCTACCTAACATTTTATGGAAAAACAAAATATCCGAACAAAAACAATACTACCTCATATATAAGTAACTTCCAATAAGATTTGACTTCTACAACAATACTGTTAGGACCATAGATGTGATGCCTGCAAAAAGAAACATGGAAAAATTTTAATTTTAAAAAGAAAATAATAACTTAAAAGTTATATATTGTATCAATGATAAAATGTCTGTGTGCACACACACACATATATTATATATATATATATATATATATATATATATATATATATATATATATATACACACACACACATTTCGTTAGAGACAACTGACAATGTACTGTGATTAAGCTTTTTATTTTTCTTGTGTTCATACAACAATGCAAAATGGACGCTAGTTAACAATGGTTTTCCTAACTACCTCATCAACCACCTGATTAAACTATTTCTTTCCAAAGTAAATAATAATGATACTGAATACACAGACAAAAACAAAAACAATAACATAAATATCTACAAAAGCCAATTGCATGTCAACTACAAAAAAGATGAATCTTCACATAGAAATATCATAAAGAAATACAGTAACCATTGACTCGAACAAAAAAATTAAATTAATTACCTATTACAAAAAATTTAAAACAGATAACCTTATTCTCAAAAATAACAACACAACTACAAAGAACGAACATTACTTACGAGTTTAAATGCTCCTTGAGGAACTGTGTTCTTGATCAAACTAAGTTCAAATAATTACATCAGCCACCCTACTACATGCCTTGCAATGAATGAACTAATGGTAGTAAATGAAATATTCAGGTTGTCTGAGATTTTCCTATAACTTTTACCTCCTTTCTAGAGCTTGACAATCAGTTCTTTTGTGAATTTGTCAATTCTTTACCTCTTGCCATGATAAAAACCTTCTTGCATGAATATCAATTACAGAATATTCTTTTATTCTTTAGGCTAAAAATAACTACTGATAACATTTTTTAAACATTCTAGAATATTCCACTTGAATAATCAAGGGTATTAAAGCAATTTAAAAGTTTTAAAATCTGAAATTTGCATTGTATGAATACTTTTTCACTCATAAAAATGGATAAATGGGGATTTATTTCTATTAAATCAAATTTTTTTCTGTTTTCTATGCATATTTAGTTATTATGCATCTGTGTAGAGTTAATTATATGAAAAGTATGATTATTCATTAGTTGGAAATACAATGAATTAAAAATTTGTATGTGTATGAATATTTGTTTCCCCCCATTGTGTGTGTGTGTGTGTGTGTGTATATATATTGTGTATATTTAGGCAGCAATTTTTCATTGATGCATATTTCATTAAATAATATAGACAAGTTTTGTCTATTTATCTTAAGTTCCTTTCATATTGTCTGATAAGCTTAACAACATTATCATTGAAAGACGAAAGGAAATCACCATGTTGATACATGTTTAAATCCTATTTAATGATAATGTTAAGCTTATCAGACAATATGAAAGGAACTTACTTAAAATAAATAGACAAAATTTGTCTATATTATTTAATGAAACATGCACTTATATATATAAACAAATGTTTGGAGGTACAAAATTTATAAATAGTTTTAAAAACTAGGAAACCATTGATTTTTAATATTAAAAGTCTCTAGAGCCCTTTCAGCCAACATCTCATCAGGAGACAATCGTTGGATCAATTGAAATGAATAATAGCGATATTGAAGAGCAAAAAAGGGGGAAACACACTAAAATAACGAACAAGTATATATACTTGTAACGAGGGAAGGGTTATCGTGGTAAATAAATAGCAAAGGACAGTTAAAATAAAATATCTCCCAACAGATTTAGAGACCTTATAAATTCTTTCTGCCGGCAGAGAGAAGGTTTTCTAAATCCTATACAGACCGATTCCAAAATCTTCAAATGATTATTGGAATCGGCTGTATGAATAATTCTAAACCACTCTTTTTTATACAACTTGGCACAAGCTATATTCTGAACTAAATGTTGAGCAATAGCCGATTCCATATTCATGGGGGGGAAGATAGCATATTCTATCTATCTTACCAAGTCATATTTGGAAGGAATGTGCTGATTAATTTAGTTTCCAAATGCAAGGTTGTACGCCCCACATAACCAGCAGCACACTGGCAATTAAATTCATATACTAAATTACTCAATTTGATGTAGGCAATACATCCTTTAAAAGACGGAAACGCAGACCTAGTTTGAAAAATGCTACGTAAAAGCAACTGATGGGAAACAACCGGAAACCAACTTGCTAACCTGCTTAATTAAGCCCTGACCACTATCCCCAATCCAGGGAATCTTCAAATAAACCGGACATTTAGAAGGCCCCTGGATTTTAGGGGAATAAAATTCCTTAGTTTTCTTACTTATAATGTAGTCAATAAGAGCCTCCGGATAGCCGTTACTAAGGAAGGTCTCCCTAATGTTCCCAAATTCACGGGCCAATCTAATAGGGGAACACACTTTAAGCGCTCTATACACCAAGGTTTTAACGAGATTAATTTTCCTTGATGCAGGAGCAAATGAACGCCAATTCAAATAAAGTCCAGTAAAGGTGGGTTTACGATAAATGCTAGTAATAAAACCACCTCTACTGCGTTCAACAAAAACATCCAAAAAAGTTGAGAATATAGCTTGTGCCAAGTTGTATAAAAAAGAGTGGTTTAGAATTATTCATACAGCCGATTCCAATAATCATTTGAAGATTTTGGAATCGGTCTGTATAGGATTTAGAAAACCTTCTCTCTGCCGGCAGAAAGAATTTATAAGGTCTCTAAATCTGTTGGGGATATTTTATTTTAACTGTCCTCGCTATTTATTTACACGATAACCCTTCCTCGTTACAAGTATATATACTTGTTCGTTATTTTAGTGTGTTCCCCTCTCTTTTTGCTCTTCAATATCGCTATTATTCATTTCTGCTGATCCAACGATTGTCTCCTGATGAGATGTTGGCTGAAAGGGCTCTAGAGACTTTTAATATTAAAATCAATGGTTTCCTAGTTTTTAAAACTACTTATATATATATATATATATGTGGGTAAATTATATGACAAAGTGTAAAAAGATTACTTGTGATATGTTTCGGCCTTCAGGACTTCATGGAACTAAATTTGTTATGTTGGTAGGACTATGCATGTGTATGGCAGATGGGTGCTGGGAATTGTAGAATTTTTTTTATCAGTTGAATCCATTTAGAGATTTTTTTCTTTTTCTTTCTATCATTTTTGTAAGTAGGTACTCCACACTGTGATATTAGGAATGGTGAAATGTAAAGAGCCATGGTGCAAATTAACTGTAGATAACCTTGTGATTAAGGCACTCTCTAGACATTTACATCATAGTGAATTATTTTCTTCTACAATCATGGTAGCATTTTTTTATGCCAAAGTTGTGGTTGGTCTTGTTAGAGTGAGCAACCAATACATCTGATGTATTATTTTGTAAAATGTCCCTTCTGTATTCACATAATCTTTTATTTAGATTCCTTGAGGTTTCTCCTATGCAATTTTTGTGAAAGTTATTACAGGTGATGGAATAAATTACTCTTTTAGGTTTTTTATATATATATATATATATATATATATATATATATATATATATATATATTATACACACACACACACACACACAAAGAAAAGACTTCCTGAAAATTTTGTGGCCTAATTCACTTTCCAAAATTAGTATTTGAATGATCAAAGATCAGAATACTGATTTTTGGGAAGCAAGTTGGACCAATTACATGTCATCCCCTCCTTGTGAGAGTGACTGTTATGATGTTGATTTGGGGTTAGTAGAGACAAACGCCAAATAACACGTAACAATAAAAAGGGTTTTAATAGGTTGGTAAAAAGGTACAGAAATCGCCTGAGTAGTCAATAACTAGCTCAGCTAAGAACTTCTCTGTCTATCTGTCTTCTCCCATGTCAACTGACATGCCACTATTTAAAGTCTTTGTTTGCAGACAAGTTCATCTTCAAGAGTGGTGGTAGGTTTCCGACACAACAGTGACAAAATAAATTTTGGCAGCAGGTGATTTTATGAAACCACCACCATTTCATTTTAGCCCCCATTGCATTTAAGGAAAAAACAATACCTACTAAAATCTCCTACAATTCTGAAGAGTAACTTTCAGCAGCAGAAAAGAGCTCTCCAACACAAACAAGAATTTAATTTAAAAAAAATAATCCTGATCATTAAAAGTAATTATAATCATAATAGATTTTATGGTGCAACCTTGCATTCTACCCTTAAATTGTAAATTAATTCACACATTTAAAAATAAAAAAAAAAAAAAATAGTTTTAAGGGACAGTTTATATAATTCACGGATAGAAAAAAAATCACGAAAAACTTAACTTTGTTTGGTTTGGTTTTTGTTTTACGGCATATCAACCTCAATAGGCCATTTAATGCCGACAACTTTTTTTTTTCCTGATAATATTTTTGTTTTGTCAAAAATCTATTTCTGGTAATATTTTTCTCCTCAAAATAGTATAGCTGGTAATATTTTTTTTTCAAAAACGTATTGCTGTTAATATTTTTTTTCTTCAAAAATTCTGGTAATAATTTTTTTGGTATTAAAACCTATTTTTTACACTTTCATGAAGCTTTTTACCTCAGTTTCAGGGTTAACTATTTGCCCATAGCTGGGACCCTAACAGGTGCTACCACCCCGGGTCAGGGTGGACCTGGGAACACAAGCAATTAAAAGGTGGTTCCACACTCCTCAAAGCCTCCTGATCAGAGGCCTTGCTGTTGGACATAGTTTATCGTCTTACCCTGGACGCGGATGTAGTTTATCGTCATACCCAGGATGAAAAACTTAACTTTGAAAAACTATATAAAAGATCAGGCTGCAAAATATTCCCACTTCATTTTCTGACTGAATTTCTGTGATGACGAATTATCTTTATTTTCATTCAGACTAATGTCCAAATCTTTGTTGCTATTATCACAAATTTTTTGGCTGTTGTGCCCTCCAGCTTTTTTTCAGGGGTCTGCTGTGCTGGTGATATAACACCCACCTGCCTAAAGACAGAGACAATGACAACAAGGTATAATGTAGCCTGCCAACCAAAAGGTAGCAAACTAGTTGTGGCACAAGGTCATTTTAAAGTGGGGAGCCTAAGCACATCAATCTGGGCTAAGGCCCCAAATTTCTAATAACAATTAATATCATGCTGGCATGGATATTCCATACACCCTCCTCTTTGGTGCAATGAGGGAGTTGTTGCCGCATGGTTGGAATCCCCACGGTCATGCATTGGTCATTCATTTTTGTGCTATATCAAAAGACAAAGACACGAAGGTGGCAAATTAGCTTTTAGTAGAAATGGTTGAGTTCATTTTCATAAGCATGTTTGACAAGCTCCTGCTTTTTAATGGAATCTTCTAAGTTGAAGGATGGGGAACTATTAATTACAGCATAAAGTTCAACTCACCCACTAAGGTAATAATATAATCTACTCCTATAATAACAATCCCTACAATAGCAGTTGTGATATAGTTGGTAATGATGATCATCAGATACTAGTTAATCATTTTGGATTTACTTTTCAATAATAGGTATGGGGAAGTATTTGTTTTTTATTAAATTAGTTGATTAGTGGAGAAAAACACAAAAAATATTTTTACTTCTGCTTTTGAAGATCCCAACTCATTCCATGGAAGTCTTCCAAAAGTGATCGGCAGTAGATGTTTGTTGACAAATCTCTAACAAAAGAAAAAAAATACAATCAATAAAGCTTAAAATAAGAAAAATCTATGAAAAAACATTTTGAAATTTAAATTAAAAGCCATACACAGATTCTTAATAACAAAAACACTGTGAACAGAGATTTCCAGTGATGAGTTAGTAGCAGCCATGGTCAAATGAAAAAAGAAATAACTGTCTAACAAACAAAATTAACAAAGAAAAAAATGGCAGAAATTAAACTGTATCCAGCAAATATATGCAAAGCAAATTTAAAGGTAAGAAATCAAGAAGTTTACAAACTATAAATTGTTGTCTATGCACAAAAGCAATGTCAAACAAGTGAAAGCAGAGGTCTGTCTTATTTACAAATCAAAGTCAAATTGTAAACTGACCTTTGACTAAGAAAAATATCCCAGCATTCATTTGTGAACTTCTATCTATAAGGGGGAAAAATTTTGCAGTCATTCCTATATGAAGTGAAATCAACAATATTCTCATCTGATGTAAGTCCTATCATAGGGACAATGATGGCTCTCCATAAATTTTTATCTTTTGTAATTCAGAGCAATATTTGTTTTTTTTTTTTTTATTTGTTTTTTACTATCCCTCTCATGCCATCCATTTGCAGACACTTATAAAGTAGGTTAAACATTTCCCCTCTATTCGTACTGTCTTTGATATATCTGCAAATTGTCAGAGCCTTCTTTCCACAATATGTGTCCCAGAAATTTCAACTGTTCCTTTCTAATTTTAAGTTTAAAATGTCTACTTTGATTCCATTTTCCTTAAAACATTCTTGTTGTGTACACACTCCATCCATGATATTCTCAGCATCCTTCTGTAGAGCCACATTTCTGTTGCCTCAATTCTCCTTTTTATGTGTGAGGAGATTGTCCAGCATTCAATGCTATATAAAAGGATTGATATTACATCACAGTTAGTGAATAGTTAGTTGCCCAAATTTAATCCAAACGAGATATTTTTAAATTCAAAATCACTTTTGTTTGTTTATTCAAACCAGTTTCCTATCTTTTCAGTACTTGGAGCCCAAACTGTCAAGCCTCAGTGGATAGCAAATAAATTTTGACATAAAACAAAATTGAGTGGATATATCCAAAATGTGAACAGTTGAAAAATGAAGCTAAACATTTCTGAATACTTAAATAGAACCAACATTTTAATAGAAAAAGGGACTGTGTGGATCTGTAGAGGTTTCAGATGACTTAAAAAATTAAGAGTTAATTTCATTGATTAAATTTTAGTCAAATTTTGCTCAAGCTATCATAAAATAATAGATTTTTAAAATGTTTAGCAAAACAGAATGAAATGTAAAACAAATATCGTATTTAATCAATGCTATAAAAAGATGTTTAGTAAAAGAGAAGAGGAAAAAAGAAGATACGTCCATAAAAAATAGCAATATGAAAAAGAAAAAAAAAATTATTAGAAACAGCTGACCAGTTACTGATCCTTTCTCATGAGAGCTTCATTGAAGAATTAAAATACAGTGTGCAACGACTGAAAGAGGGGGATACAAATGAGGATAATAAATACACAAGTTAGAATGGCTGGATGTAACCATAAATTCTATGCTAACACTTTCTTCTTTCACACTTCTTGCTTGTGGAAATCTCTTCCAGTTTCTTGCTTTCCAGTCAATGCAATCTCATGTCATCATCTGTCTCTGTGAATTCTGTTCTTTTATTGTCTTCTCTCCTTAATAATGATTTTTATCACATTCTTTCACTTTCACAGCAACCTCTTGTGTTTTCATGGGTTTATCACCTTACTTAGTGTAAAATGATTTAAAAAAAAAAAAACAAAACAAAAAAAACATGAATATATGTATACTTAAATAAAAATTGTCTCAAGAACTTTCAGATAGAAGTTGGAACGTGATTTACTCAACACAGAAAATATATAGCTTTGTCAGTTTTTACCAAGGAGTCATTAGAGGGCACAGTCATGCAGCTATAAAAACTAGATACTTCCTGTCTTCATTTTCTTTTATGTCTTTTCTGTTTAGCATGCTGTAATGATGGCATCCATGGGATCTTGTTCCACTGGACACAGGGATATCTTTCTCCTTAGTGACTGAACTCTTTCACAAACACACACATATACATTACCCACACAATTCATAACTTTTAATGCTTACTTTCTTTTACATTCATATTTGTATATTTTCTCTCCCTTGTGTATAAAAACACAAAAACATTACATTATTGAAACTGTCTTCAATTTTCTTACACTTGTCATTTATTCATGTAAACTTTCCCAAAGTGCCACATGCTGTGATCACCTCTACAGGTTGATAACAAATCCTGACAAATCGACCAATGCAATTCGAACCTGAGTCTCCTTGTTGGAAAGCAGACATTCTAAACATTCAGCCACGTGACTGAAAACCCGACCATGAGTTGACCCAAGCCTTGTGAGCGAAATTGGGTATACAGAATGATTTGGGAGCCATAAATGGTTGAGCTAGCACAAAGTCACAAGTTATCGTGACCGAGGGTCTGTGCATACTGGCCTTGTTCAGACTGTTGATCACACCAGTTGAAATTTTCACTCTCCCCCAGAAACTGTAACTAAGGTCTGCTCAGTATAGTTGCAGTATAAACCACAGGTGGACTCTGTGGGTGCTAAACAAACACAAATGTGCCTGAACAGGCGTCTGCAACAGGGATTGGGTAACTACTCTAGCAGAAAGGCATATTCAGATATAAGCAGCCAGCCATTACTTATTACTTTATTTGTGTAAAATATTGTTGTGACTGTTTTTAATAAAATTATAAGTAGTGCCTGCAACAAGCCTCATGAAAATTTATTTAAGTGTTTGGTTACAATCTCCAAATACCTCATGAATAATTGGCAATGCACATTGGACCACTATGGGGATATGTTGGTGTTTTCTTGTTTCCTCAAGAGCATGTAGCATCTTACAAAATTTAAACTGGTGTAGTAGCCAAACATACTTGAAGCAACCTGTAAGTAGCTGACTCCTCATGCTATCTTCATAAGAGCCAAATCAGGCTGAAAATGGAATACTATTGCCATATTTGAGTGGGAGCTGCCTGGTCCTCACTTTCCAGCTTTGATAGAGTTCAAAAGTGTCTCCAAGCCCTTGTTGGAGAAGAATTATTTTCACGCACCAACCTCACTCTCACTGATCTATTGCAACTTCCATGGAAAGTTCTTAGGTGAACTACATTACTTGATTCTGCCAGATCCAACCTTCACAGTTAGGACAAACCATTCCACTTACAAAGTAGCAAACCACTCACATTCTCTGCATATTCTGTTGGTGAGAAGTATGTTCCACTCAAACAGCTTCTTCCCATGAACTACTGCCCTGTGGATGTTTTCCCAATCATTACAATCTGAACCTGTTCAAGTCTTGAGTTAACTGTTACCTTCCCCTCCTATCCATATAAACTACCCCTTAACATAACCCTCTACCTTGAGTGCCCCCAGGCCTTGTACAGGATGAACCTAACTGTTAAAAAAAAAAAAAAAAAAAAAAAAAAGGAAAAAGAGATCTGGTTCTACAGAAGGGTGCTGTGGATACCATGGACCAAACATGTGAACAATGACAAAGTTTTAGATAAAATGGAAACAAAAAGGAAACTTATACTTAACATCAGTAAGAGACAGTTGAGGTTTCTAGGGCACATAAGGAATGAGGGCTTTGAAAATCTGATACTCACAGGACAGATTGAAGGTAAGAGAGATAAAGGAAAACAGTGCATAACATACGTACTTAGCTTGGGTAAATGGATGCAAAACGGGCTTTAGGAGAAATAACAGAAAGACAAAATTTATTAAGACCTGCAAGTGACAGGAAGTTGTGGAGAGCCATGATTGCCTACAACTCAAGGAGACATGGCACATAAAGAAGCCAAAGGTAGTGAAAAGAAACAATTGAACCAAATTCTGTTCAAGCCTTCTTTTTAAGCAATGTATAGGAAAATGATGACAAAACTACCAATGTATATTCAGTTTAAATTTATTATAAGAGAGCCACAACAAAACAGCAGAATAATTTAATAGCTTTCTTCTATGTGCTGTGCCACTTCAAGACATAGGCAATCATGGCTTTTGTAGCACTTAATAAATTTTGTCTCTTTCTTATCTCTTCTAAACATTGTTCCACCATCCATTTACTCAAGTTCATTAGGAAGATTATTCATTATTTTCCTTTGTCCCTCTTGCCTTCAATTCATCCTGTTTGTCCTGGGTAAGACGTTAAACTACATCCACGTCCTGGGTAAGACATTAAACTACGTCCAACAGCAAGGCCTCTGATCAGGAGGTTTTGAGGAGCATAGAACCACCTCTTAATTGCTGGTGTTCCCAGGTCCACCCTGACCCAGGGTGGTAGCACTTGTTAGGGTCCCAGCTATGGGCAAATAGTTAACTATTACCAGCAATACTTTTTTGAAAAAAATTATTACCAACAATACAATTTTGAAGGAAATATATTACCAGAAACAGATTTTTTGACAAAACAAAATATTACCAGCAATAAAATTTTTTGTCAGCATTAAATAACCTATTGAGGTTGATATGTCATTAAACAAAATAAAGCAAACCAATTCATCCTGCGAGTATCAAATATTCCAAGCCCTCTTTTCTCATTATGTGCCCGAGAAATTTCAACTATCTCTTTCTGGTGTTAAGTATAAGGGTCCTTTTTGTTTCCATTTTCTCTAAAACTTTGTTGTTGCTCACATGTTTGGTCCATGGTATTTTCGGCATCCTTCTGTAGAACCACATTTCTTTACCTCAAGTCTCTTCTTCAACTGTAAGGAGATTGTCCAGAATTCATTGCCATATAAAGGATTGATGTTACATAACAGTTAAGTACTTTTCTTTGTTTCTAACATAATTTTCCTCAGTGCTAATTCCCAAGAAAACAAAACAAAAAAGATTTTGAAATTTTACTTACTCCAATTTCTTGAAAGACGAGACCTTTGAATCCCAGATGTACCGGACATGCTGGTGATCAAAATATTTAAGCAGCCATTCCTGAAAAAGATAGAATTTTTCTTTTAAAGAAAATATCGACAAGTAAATTTATCTTTGTATATACAAAACCGTTCCTCTTTTATAAATTTCCTATACACAAGTATTTCATTGATTTAAAATGAGATGTCAGTATTATTTTCATTTTTGCACAATTCAGACGACAATTTATCCATCACACACACACACAGAGTCTCAAAAAATGTATACACACTTTTACAGTGAATAACTTATTCACCAGACTACACCCCTTTGAACTTTTTCTTGTGGGGATACTTAAGAGATAAAGCCTACAGTACAAAGCCAGCAACAATCACTGAGATTAAAGTTTCCATAGAGCAAGAATGCAGCTGAATACTTATTGAAAAAGCCAGCAACAATCACTGTCATAAGATTAAAAAAGCAATGACCAAATCTTAAGAGAGCATTTATAAAAAAAAAAAAAAGAATGCATTATTTTAAGCTGAATACTTATTGAAAAGTTGATTGCTTTTTTTTGCATTGGTGTGTATCACACACAGACTGACTACTACAATGTCTTGGATTAAAAGATAATTGACTTTTCCAAATAAAATCTCAAAAAAGAAGACATCAATTTTTTTTAAAAAACAATAATCTAAATTTCTTTTTTTAAATGACCAAATATTTAAGAGAATGCATTAAAAAAAAAAACACTGTTTTAAGACCATATGCATTATTTAAACTAGATATAGTTAACAGTTTTATTGGTTCTTTTTGAACATTCAAAATTTTGATTAAAAAATTTTTTCTTGAGAAAGATTAAAAATCTAAGTATGGATGTACAAACCTAACATTATCATTAAATGTCATATGTTTTAAGAGTTGCCCACCCAGATGAAAAAAAAAAAAAAACTAAGATGAGGGAATAGGTGCAAAAGACATATAAACATTATAACACGTCCCAAATTAGAGCCTGTGTTAAAAAAAAACAAGGTCCCATGATTAAGAAATGTTTGTATATATATATATATATATATATATATATATATATATATATATATATATATATAACATTTTACTCAATTTTGCCATTTTTTTTAAGAATTTTTGAAGAATATAAATCTTTTTTTTTGCAAAATTGGACCCTATCTTAAAATGTTAAAAAACACAATCAAATTAGGTTATTGCTTTTATTTATATATTTTTTAAATTTGTTTTCATTAAATAATTTATTTTTTCAAATAAACATTTCAGATAATATATATTTTATTTTTACAAGATTTTAAAACTGAGAATTAATTTTTTTGTTTACAAATCTGTCAAAATAGCCATTTTATCAATTTTAATGGAAAAAAAGATTCAGATCAATATAATTTCTGTTAATTTAACAAATAACATTTCACAGATTTTATTTTAAATAACTGAGAAAATAGTAAATTTTAAATGCTTTAGCTTTGGAAAAAAAATTAAAGTTGAAAAATGAAATACAGGAAATTTTTTCATTTTAAAAAAAAAAATTCATTTCAAACCTTACATATACCAAATTAGTGGTGGTACTTAATATACAATATCAACATTATGCTTGAAAAGTTGACATTTTTTCTGGTGAGAGATTTCTCTTGATAACCAACTTGTCTGTGTTCAAATTTAGAAATGTATTTTGAAATATGTTGCACTTCATATCAACTACATTCAATCTAGTTGAGTATTTTTAAAATATGTCATACTAATACAGGGGATTTTAAAAAGCTAAGATGATGGAATAGGTGCAAAAAGAGTAAAAAAAAGATTTTATATATATATATATATATATATATATATATATATATATATATATATATTGATTATTGCATAGAACACTTTATAAAATGCATAAGATGGAAAGTATTCTATTTCCTCAACAAAGACAATGACAATAGTAACAACCACAGCAACACCAATAATACAAAAAATATTAACAGATTTAGATTTACATCAACAAAACAACCTCATTGCTTTTGAAAAAGAATTAGCAAACATAATCAATAATTGGGAAAATTCAACAATAATTTAAAAAAAAATAAATAAACTTGAAAAAGATCAAGAAATGATAAACAACTCAAAAAAACTATTTATAAAAGCAGATTAATCCAGTATAGTCTATCAAATGGAAACCAACAATTACTATAAGCTACTCAACAAAGAAGTCAATAAATTTTACAAAACCACAAATAACAAAACAGAAAGTGAAAAAGCATAGCCACTAAACTAAAATTAGACAATAGGATAAAACAATTAGAAAAAATATTCAAAGAACATAATGACAACTTCATGACCAAACCAACATGAAGATTACTAAACCCCATAAAAAGCAACATTGGGAAAATAAACAAAAATATTAGAAAAAATGTGCTCAAAACTAAGAAGCACACTAAACATAAACCAATGGAAAATACTAAAACTACAATCAATTGGTTTAATAACATTAGTAATAAAGAAAACTATTCCTTCAAACAATTAGACATAAAAGATTTTTATCCATCTGTTAATGAACATAAAGTAAACAATACATCAATATCCCCAATGAGGACATAAATATAATTAAACAATGCTGAAAATCAGTATTATACCACAATAAAAAATATGGACAAAAAGGGCCAAACTAATAACAATAATGATAATAATAATAATAATAGATTTGATGTAACAATGGGTAGCTATGATGGTGCTTGTATGCAAACTCAGGCATATACATAACAAATATTATTAACAAAAAAGATATAGGTCTATACAGGGATGATGATCTATTAATTCTAAGAAATTGCAACAGCAGAAATTAAGAAAAATGCCCACTTAACAATAAATGTTTAACTGATAAGATAATATACAAAGCTATCATAAATAATAATATTAACACAGACAAAAAATTTACATAGATGCCACAGAAAAAACTTTTAGAGAAAAAATGTCATTCCAAAGAAAAAATACACAAACAATACAACCCTATCATTTTTGGAGCCAAAAAGAAAACTATCCCTGACAAAATCAAATGGGAAATTATAAAAAGAGCATCCCACCCCTATACAGGATTAAATGTAAAAATTCTAAATTATGCTTAGAGGGAAAAAATTATCAATACTTAGTTTTAAAAACCAAAATAAACAAGAAAAGTGAAATAATGGGTAAATATATGCATATCAATAAATATTTACTTTGACATCTAAGCACTAACTAAAAATAAACAAATAAACAAATATTAAACATATGCCAAAAATGAAGAAACATAACTCCCACCATAATACCTCTCTCTTTCTCTCATATATATATATATATATATATAAAGAAATATAGTTTTAAGGTGTGTTATATTTATGGGATAAAGTGGTCAATATCAGAGATAGCGCATGTAAATATAAGTGAACACTGAAGACAACACTCAGAGGCAACAGGCTGTTTCATGCTAGACACAACTATCAGGCCATCTGATTGTGTCTAGCCTGTCACCTCTGAGTGTTGACTTCAATGTTCACTTATATATATATATATATATATATATATATATATAAAATATAAAAATGAATATCAATGTGTCACACTTTTTCAACTTCACTCTGAGAGGCTATAATTCAACATAGCATGCTCTTTTAGAATGAGGCTAACTCTGTGAGCAAATTTAAAACATTACAGGCCAGATCCAGACCTGCAATCCTGAAATTTTGGATTCCCAAGTTTTCATTACTGCAATTGTTTTCAGTGTTTTTTTTTTTAACATGATTTTTTTGTGATGAATTTTTTTTATGATAATGATTTTTAGAAGTTGGAAATAAATTTGAGAATAATTTAAATTAATTGTGAAATCCAGCAAAAGTCAGCCATGAAATAAAAATAATTGTTTATACAGAAAGTAAGGACTGGCATACATCAAATTGTCTTTAAATTATGTGGCGGCAGAAGAATTATCATTGAACTTTTAAAAGGTATGCTTAAATATTAATGTAATGATCAATTTTGAGTTCTCCTGCAGTTTATTGTTTACTCAATCAAGAGCCCTCTGCAGGAGCTAGTTTAAATTCTGCCTAATAGGGCAGCTTTTAAACTAGTAATAAAATATATTTAAATTATAATGATGATTGTTGACTTCAATAATTGCATAATGTTGGCAAGAAGAAGTTCAACTGAACAAAAAGTGTTTATCATGTGTTTTTCAGATAATGAAAAATCAATTCTGCTTCTGAAAAACATTTTTTTTTAAGTTACCTTCACAGATGTAAATATTAATCATTGTAAATCCTATACTATTTATATTGATTTTCCAATTTCTAATCAATCATGGACATAAAATGGAGTTTTTCACTTAATGCAAAACCAATTTTATCTGGGGAGGGAGCACAAAAAAACTATTTTCACAGATGTTAATATTAATCAATATAATTTCTATATAGTCTAGACTGATTTCAGAAACCAATACTTGAAACCAAGTTAGCAGTGATCCATCTCTAAGAAAGCACTTCCCTACTACAGCAATAATCAAGAGAACCAGGCCATTTCTCAATGGTTTCTGTACAATATAAAGTCTCCTATAATAAAAACTGACTGTTACACTAACTGCATATAAAGCAATGTCTACAGTACATAAAAAAACGCAATAGCTTTGCTAAGAAAATTAACTAACCATCATCAGATCTATTGAGGGTTCTTATCTCTCTACCTGCCTATGGCAGGTACGTATAATTCTTATCTTTCTACCTGCCTATGGCAGGTACGTATAATTCTATCAATTTTCCTACACAAAAAATAATTTGTACTTGGGTCATATTACATTTCTCTGTTACTGTTATTCTATTAAGATGGAAAATCTCTCCTAAAGACAATGAAGCCCAATAAAAAAATTTAAAAAAGGCTGGAACATGTATCAGTATTTAACCACAGACAAATTTATAATCATCTCTACCAAGATCAGAGCAGTGCAAAATATCGAAGTTGAAATAAGATCCTTTTTATTTTTTTTTATCAACTATGTGTTATTTTTGTTTAAGGATAAAGGGTTTGTTGTTGTTTTTTTC